CTTTGCATAAATTTAAAAGACAATATCATTTTTTTTTAAATCCCATCTTAATAAAGACATTTTAATCCTTTTTTAACCCGTCTAAACTTACAATAAATAGAACCTCATTAACATATTAATAACATTTTTAAGTTTGTATCATTTAGAATTGAAGTTTGAGCGCAAAAACCAAATCTTTTTGGCTCGCTTTTCAGCCAAACACTGAAACTTTATCTGAGTCTCGGTTATTAATTTCGATGAGTGTTCTCTGATTTATTTTATGCAATAAATCCTCAATTAACGCGGTTCTGATTAATGTGCAAGCAAATTTTATGCTCACACGCAAAAACTAAAAAAAATCGAATACTGCATCGAACAATTTCTTTAGCGTTATAATTAATTCTTCAATGGCGGCGAAAGATTGTATGAACAAACGTGCAGGCCAAACGGGTTACAAAGCAAGAGAATTCATTTTTTAAAATGATAGGTTTTATACTTATTTTCGCTCGAATTATATACAAAACAATATAGTATAAAAATGATATTTCAGCCCGTTTAAATTAGATACCTACAAAGAAATGCAATAAATTTAAAATAAATTCTTAAAGATGAAAAAATCTTTCTCTACGCTTTTATTTTAATTTTAATTTCAACCTAATAGATTAAATTTAATATTTCCAGTAAGCAAGATAATTTGCTGTATTTCAAAACTAATTTAAATTGACTGAAAGGAGCTTTAAAAAAAAAAAAAATCGATAAGAGCCATCTGTCAGCACAGTATAATTTTCTTTATTAAAAATCTTTCAAAAATAAAATATATTTTTCTGAAACTTTATTTGAGGAATATTATCTGATTTAAAGAATAATTAATCTTATTTGAAAAAAATATTACTTTTAGTTTAAAATATCGCATAAATGCCTTTTTAACACGGAGGTAGCTGTTTATGGTGTTGCACCTTGACTGGCAGCCGGAAGTTTATCTAATTTTTTCACCGGAGGTATATCTGCAAAATCTACTTTACGATTATAACGAGAGAATCTTTTTTATATAATTTTTTTTTACTAAACAGTAATCTTAAAAATTTATGAAAATATTCTAAGTAATCTAAAGTTTTATTGAATTTTAGATACATTGATTTTAAATTCACTATAGTTATCACACTTATTTTCAGATAATGTCGTGTATGAACCCCTGTATTTACAAAAATCTGCACGCTTATACACACATACAAAAAAATTCAGAATTTAAAAAAAAGAATTTTGCCGTTGGGGATATGGAAGGGATTGCCGAATTATAGTAAGCTTTTCCGTCTATAATTAGTAAATATAGTTTTTACTTTATAACAATATCACCTAACTGGTAAAAATCAATGCAGATATAAAGATTTAAAACTTTATAAATTATTGTAATTACAATTTAAAAAAAAATGAAAACAATTCTTATAAAAATTCATTATTCATCGAAAAAATGTTTTTCTTAAGTCAATAATGTTCATATATTTAATTCATAAAAGTAATTAAAAACTTTTCTAATAATGTCTTAGTTTTATTGCCTTTTTTTAAATTTTACGATACAGAGCTGGGGGTCCTGTTTTATAAAAAAAAATGATGATTTAAATTCTTCAATGAGTTCTGTTTATGGCTACTATAAACATTAAGAGGTTCATAAAATAATTTCCCGAAATTTCATGATATTAAATAAGTGTGAGTTAACAGATGTAAAAAAAAAAAAAAAAATTTAATACAATTTTCGAAAAGAGAAGCATTTTGAAATAATTTTTGAAATTTTATTTTCTTTTCAGAAAATAAAACCTGCTGCAAATTTATTTTCACTATTGCCCCGAATTAATAACGAAATTAAAAAAAAAAATGAAAATCAGATTCAATTACAAAGAAAACAATATTTATTTATTTCTAACCAGCTAAATAAGGGTTCTTGCAAAAATTCGTCCCTTTTTGCTGAGAATAGGACAACCTATTCTCTGAGTAACACAGTATAAAAAAACATAGCAGAAAAACTTAAAAATTACAAATTTTACAAAAAGAAAAACAAAAGAATTGCCCCCCCCCCCGCTGTGTCAATGATAACAATAAAAAAAGGGGAGAGCCTTAGCTCTACAGTACACTTTCAGTCCTTTCAAGGTTCAAAAGTTTTTTATCTTTTTCCTTTTCTCTCTTGTGTAGACAAAGGTCTCTTTTTGGTGACCAAACTCCCTTCTTTCTTTACTTATTTTCCTCCCGTCCGCCTGGATATTACGCCTTTCTTTTACGGCCGCTAGAAGTTGGAAATTTACTTAAACACGTGGTAAAATACTTTTTGAAAACGTACGTGTTCGCTCCTTCGTCTTCTTCTCAAACGGCTTTTGCTCCAAACTCCACTTATGGACTTCTTTTCAAACTTTCTTTTCTGCAGCTTCTACAAGAGGACTTCTCAAAACTTTCTCTGAAGGGGAAACTTGCCCTCAGCAACTTTGTTACCTATGCATTCTTCACTTATGGGCAAACGCTGCCTGCATTTTCAGCAGGGACAGAGAAAAACTCCTGTCTCTCAGCGGTCTCGTTTTCAACTGATGCTAAGGTCCAGTCCCAGTTCTCCCTTCCCTTTCAAAAGGAGGTGGTTCACCTTTTAACCGTCCAATCACAGTCCATATATCAGCAGGTTCTTAGGGCCAGTAACACAATGAGTGTCTTTTGTTCTCCCTTGATCTAAAAGTTTTCAAAAATTGCATTCATTTATGAATAAATCCTAAAATTTACATTAAAATCTGACAATTATTTGATTTTTGCAAGAATTTCAAAATTAATGTGTTTTTTTTTTCGTCTTAAAAAAAGACGTTAAAATTCCCGATACTAATCTTTGGTCCACCCCACCCATCGCCTCGCTAACGCAATTTTTTTTTTACTAAAATATCGAACGTTCTAAAAAGGATCACAAATTATAATTTAACAATTAAAAAATCCTTTGGTTTTTCCTCTTCATAACATAAAGGTTTTGACGATAAAACTTTTTGTTTTTAATGAGATTTGGGGATTTTTTTTTCATCATGGCTGCCCATTTTGTAGTGAATCTGTGGAGGTACCGAGTTGAGATTATAAAAATAAAGATAAAAAAAGGAAAAATAAATCAACCATTCGCCCTTGCATGGAGTATTGTTGCCATATAAGGCCTGGAGCCCATTCTGTTTGTCTCAAGGTTCTTGATAAAATCCAGAGACGGATATGCAACGTAATTGGCCCTGATCTGGCATCTCGTCTGTAGTCGCTCTCTCACAGACATGCCGTCGCTTCCCTTTGTCTTTTTGTTTTTTACAAATACTTTCACGGTAACTGCTCCGATGAGCTGATTTCGCTGGTTCCCAGACTTCATGAATTTAAGCGTTCTACTAGGCTGGCATCTCGCTCACACCCTTTCACTGTCGAAACTGTTAAATGTAGCCGTCTCTTCTACTCCAATAGCTTCATGTCTCGCACCTCTCGCCTGTGGAACTCCCTCCCCTCTTCCTGTTTCCCTGATAGCTATAATCTACAACTATTCAAATGTAGTGTCAGTCGAAATCTCCAGATGCCCTGATCTATCCCCTATTCTTCTCTTCATCCTTTTCTCTATCACTCCTATTTGCTCTTGCTTCAACTCTCTGTAACTCCTTGCATGCTAGTGGCTTTCCGCCTTGCTTGGGGTGAAATGCTTAAAAAAATATTACGTTCTTTAATCTTATATCGTAACAGTATGATACTGCTTGAATAATTCCATGCACAATGGAATTGGGCATTCTTTGCGCCAAATTCTCATCATTTTTCGATTTTTCTCTTCAAGAATTCTGCACGCAGACATAGCACTATCTTTGACCTGTTATGGCAGCTTTGTTTGCAGACAAATACCTCAGGAAATGAATGAATCCTAGCAAATAGTAATCTCATGAATTCTAGAATTGCCGATTAGTTATTTAGACTCGAATCTTAAATGAATGATGCCTCAGAAAAAATGTTTATAGCATTCATTGATAATACCTGTTAATCTTAAATGAGACAACAATCTCATAGCCATCGTTTTTAGGGTTTAAACTCAAATAAATTTCGCCCAATACAGGGCTTGAGAGCCACCCAAAGTAGAAGGTCATTGTTAAAATTGTTATGATGAATGAGATGTCTGATATAAATGAAACAGGAACTGGTAGCAAGTAAAGATTATGAGGATAGAGAGGATATATAACGACTTGCCCTTGACTTGAAGAGGTTAAGATTATAGTGCCCAGGGAAACATCCACGCGTGAGTCTGTTTCATAAAGTAGTAGTTTATGGGGAAAAAAGCTTTTTTGAGTGGAACTTTCTCCTTACATTTGGAATACAGGGGAAATGAGGGTGATTCAATGCCGTGGAAGTATCATGATATGTCATAGCTGTAAAGGTATGAACTGTTGGAACTAAACAATGGAGCTCTGTCAAATTAGCGTCGGGTAATCAAGGGTATGTGGTTTCGGGTCTTTACTTCGAACGTTCGATCTTCTTGCGAGTTTGTGAGGGATTCTGTCTCTCTTCTCGTTGGTCGAATGTTTATATAACTTCTTTTTATCTGGTTGTCTTGTATGTGAATATCTTAAGTTCAGGTGTGTTCACTTCCTTGTTTATGTTAGTGTACCCACCGACATCCTTTGAGGTCCAACTCTGGCTAAGGTTACCCCTTGATCAACTCTTGGGTCTCTTAGGTCTTTTGACATTCTGAAGTGAAACCGAGTACAAAACTTACTTTGGTATTTCTTAGAGTGAACCCAGTTCATATTGGGGGTCACCACAGATCAACTCTTCTTAGATCAAAGGTTCATGATGGACACTAAATCCAATTCAATCCTCTGGTATTTCCTGGTGGTAATCACATACTACAGGTGTATTTTTCAGATGAGGGGTACAAATTTCCTTTCTTTTTTCAAAAGAGATGATGATGTATTATGCAAGGAATTGTTTATTTATTTTTTTAAATCTGTAAAAGTTCTTCTTAAAGCAATACGTTTCATTGTCTTTTACAGTTATCACAAAGTGGTGCCACCAAACAATGCAGAGATGTGTAAAAGAAACCCAGAAGATACAGAATTCTATCGGCAAGTTCTTGATTTGAAGAACATTTAAATCTCAGAGAAACTGAAAATCAGAAACGAGTTCTTTCTGACCCCAACCAAACAAAGAATCATAGCCTGCAACACATCAAGACATTCAAGATGTTTTTTTTTTTACTCCGTGTCTAAAGAAATAGTTACTCCTTCGGTCAATTCAACCATTAAAAATTTATACAAACTGGTTTATGACATTTGGATGTAAAATTTATGAAGTCACAATAATCTTTTTTTTTTTTTTTTTTTTTTTTGAGGCAATTCCGATATTGGAATGAATGGAAGTGCAAAGGGAAAATGCGCCAATTAATTGTAGTCATTAAAAAAAAAGTCATTAAAAAAAAGTCATTAAAAAGGCAGAAAAATTAAGGATGTTTAATTGTTCATTTTCAACATCCTCCTTGTTCGTAATAATACATTTTGTTTGTCATGAAACTGATATGGAACCTCAAGCTCGCCAAAAAAGACGATCAATTTGATTTACCATAATTCCCCATATATAAAGACGCGTTCATCCATAATACGCATCCCTAAAATTGTGCTGAAAGTGTGGGAAAATGCTACTACTCATGCATAATACGCACCTCTTGTTTAGTAATGAAACCCTATAAATTGTATCTCTCCAATTTCATTACAACCAGCGTTTCCTACTCTTATTTAAAAATGTTATTAAACATAAAATAATATTATTCTAATTTAGTTTTATTTTATGATAATTCTTATTTTATTTTACATTTATAAGTATTGTTAGAGGTACATATGATTGTATTTGACATCCTTATGGGGTCGCAGTCGCCGAATGTTAGTGTCAAATTGTTGTATGTTTGTGGTGAGTAGTCATTTAGTAACTGAAATCGACCTATGAAACGGTAATTTTTTAAAGATTTTTTGTAGCTGTGTATAATACACACCCCTAATTTTGCTTATTATTTTTTTAAGAAAAAAATGCATATTATATATGGGGGATTACGGTAATAAAAACGGTGTAAAATAGAAAATAAAGAAACTAGACAAATGGTTAATTTCGATTTGTCATTTTGTATTAATTTCAGGCTTGTCATTCATTCATCTCATCCCCAGGTGGTCCGTCTCTCTTGCCAGTACCTCTTATTTGTAAAGAGATTAGGGTTATTAACCCTGAGGTAACCAGAAAAGAAGTGCTGAGGGAATTGGAGCAACTATTCTTCCCAGCCAAGTACGCGTGGGCTTCTACTTTAAGCTTGAACTTTTTGTTTAGTAATGGTAATAGTAATATTAGCCATTCACTTATAAGAAAACATTCGACATTCATTGACCGAGCAGCCAGTACTACTTTCAGTTGAAATTTATAAAATCTTTGTATCAAAACAATTTCCTCAGAAAAATAGATTGCTCAACCCCAGTACATATTATAGCTCTTTAATTGAGGGTTTTGATGTATCGATGGGGAATTCTATCTTAAACTTCGAAGAATGATTAATATTTTGGTTTTGTGTTGAGCAAAACCACCTTTAGCACAGGAAATTCTATGTTTAATTTGATTATCTCCTCTGGCAACTGATCCATACAATGAGATATTTACATCCCAGCACTTTTTCATAATATCTTCAAAAATCTATCTATCTATCTATCTATCTATCTATCTATCTATCTATCTATCTATCTATCTCAGTCTGTTCATATGTCTATCTAAATCTAATATTCTATCTATCTATCTATCTATCTATCTATCTATCTATCTATCTATCTATCTATCGCAATGGAAATAGTAATATTAGCCATTTACTTATAAGAAAACATTCGACATTCATTGACCGAGCAGCCAGTACTACTTTCAGTTGAAATTTATAAAATCTTTGTATCAAAACAATTTCCTCAGAAAAATAGATTGCTCAACCCCAGTACATATTATAGCTCTTTAATTGAGGGTTTTGATGTATCGATGGGGAATTCTATCTTAAACTTTGAAGAATGATTAATATTTTGGTTTTGTGTTGAGCAAAACCACCTTTAGCACAGGAAATTCTATGTTTAATTTGATTATCTCCTCTGGCAACTGATCCATACAATGAGATATTTACATCCCAGCACTTTTCATATCTATCTATCTATCTATCTATCTATCTATCTATCTATCTATCTATCTATCTCAGTCTGTTCATATGTCTATCTAAATCTGCGCATATCTATCTATCTATCTATCTATCTATCTATCTATCTATCTATCTATCTATCTATCTATCGCAATGGAAATAGTAATATTAGCCATTTACTTATAAGAAAACATTCGACATTCATTGACCGAGCAGCCAGTACTACTTTCAGTTGAAATTTATAAAATCTTTGTATTAAAACAATTTCCTCAGAAAAATAGTTTGCTCAACCCCAATACATGTTATAGCTCTTTAATTGAGGGTTTTGATGTATCGATGGGGAATTCCATCTTAAACTTCGAAGAATGATTAATATTTTGGTTTTGTGTTGAGCAAAACCACCTTTAGCACAGGAAATTCTATGTTTAATTTGATTATCTCCTCTGACAACTAATCCATGCAATGAGATATTTACATCCCAGCACTTTTCATATCTATCTATCTATCTATCTATCTATCTATCTATCTCAGTCTGTTCATATGTCTATCTAAATCTGCGCATATCTATCTATCTATCTATCTATCTATCTATCTATCGCAATGGTAATAGTAATATTAGCCATTTACTTATAAGAAAACATTCGACATTCATTGACCGAGCAGCCAGTACTACTTTCAGTTGAAATTTATAAAATCTTTGTATTAAAACAATTTCCCAGAAAAATAGTTTGCTCAACCCCATAGCTCTTTAATTGAGGGTTTTGATGTATCGATGTGGAATTCCATCTTAAATTTTTATTTGAAATAGTGTGGAATGTCAACATCTTGATTATATCACTATCTTTGCTTCGAGTTCCATGTTATCCATTTTAGTTGTTGCTGCTGCTGAAAGTCCTCAAGTGATGTGGTTTCTGTTAACTTCGATTGTGATTCTGTAGCGCCAGTCAACGAGGTTCGACGAATGATTAATGTTTTGGTTTTATGTTGAGCAAAACCACCCTTAGCACAGAAAATTCTATGTTTAATTTTCCTATCTCCTCTGACCCCGTATGCATACAACGAGATATTTACATGCCATCACTGTTCATATCTATATATCTGAGTCTGTTCGTATCTATCTATCTATCTATCTATCTATCTATCTATCTATCTATCTATCTATCTATCCCAATGGTAATGGTAATATTAGCCGGAAATATTTGACATTTATTGACCGAGCAGCCAATGTTACGGTCGGTTAAAATTTAAAAAAACATTTTTCCGGAAAATAGTTTTCTCAATAACATTTGTCCCCCTTTCCGATATTGATTGCGGTTTCCTTCCTAACTTTTTGTTCGAGGTTGTACGGAATGTCAACATCTTGATTATATCACTATTTTCGCTTCGAGTTCCATGTACTATCCATTTTCGTTGTTGCTGCTGTTGAAAGTCCTCAAGTGATGTCGTTTCCGTTATCCGTTACAATTGTTTGTGATTCTGCAATGTCAGTCCACAAGGTTCGAATAATGGTTCTCACTAAAACCTACAGGCTTCATTCGCTCAAGGTCATTTTTATTCATTGATCTGAGAAAACGGCTGTATACTGCTGACAGTTTCTAAATGTTCACCCAATACAAGAGCCACCCAAGGTAGAGTGTTTTTAAACGTGGTTGTTGTATGAACTTAAGAGGAAGAAGAAAGTGCAGATTATGAAGATATGTAGATAACGTCAGATTCCGGATGGGTTAAGATTGTAGTAGTCGCCGAAGAATCCTCTTCGGAGTCTGTTACATAAAGTAGCGGTAGTCATTCTGTTTGAATGGACGCATGGATAAATTCTATCGCAACATCCGACGAAGTCACCAGAGGCTCGTCTCTACAAACTTTATTTCTCCTTCGGAATGAAACTATGGTTAATTTCTGGCGCCTGAGTCGTCCCCAAACGAGAGAAATGCCGTGGCGCTGGACTATTTTTGGTCTCTGGTTCCAGGTACTCGTGGGGGCTTCCCATTAAACACGACCTTCTGCCACATTCCATTCACGTGGCTGTTCGGATAATTATCATAACTTCCGACACGCTTCAAGGACTCTAGACTCTCCCAGTAATACCTCTCCTACGGGAGAGGACTAGGATTATATCTGGTGCTTGAGGAAAAAGGGTAAATTACCAAGAGGGCTGGATTATTTGGGGCCTTTGACACCATATACGCGTGGGACCCTCACTTTAAGCGCCACCTATTGACACATTCTGATCGGATAAATATTATTACAACCTCTGACGCTTGTCTCCAAGGTGGTACCTCCCCTTCTGCAGAGATTACAGTTATTCTTGGCAACTTAGGCGTCCCCCAAACAGAAAATACGAAAGTATTTTTGACTTCTGGCCCAAAGTACGCGTGGGACTTCCATTTTTAACCCTGTCTTTTAAAGTATAATGGACGCGCAGGTAAATATTAGGTTGGTGCAAAAATAATGACGTAATAATTGTCGTTTTTTGGCGTTAAAATTACGTCAAAAAAGGACATAATTACGTCATTATTTTTGCACCAGCCTAATACCTTAAAAAATTCTTCCGTCGAATATTCTCTAGGCATTTCGGGTATCCGAGCTAGAAATTTGGGACAAGAGGAATAAAAAAAAAAAAATATCGTCCAAAATTATGCGAAAATAGTTCATCATATTTAAAATTTAACTCTATTTTTAAAAAAACCTGTAACCCTCTACGGTCGTAGGGGTATCACGTGTACTGTCACGCAGTGGTGTCTTCTAGGCAAGGTAGCCTAACGAAGCCCAACGTTTTCCAGGTTGGTTTTGAATTCAGCGGTTTTCTTCTTCAAGACTGGTTGCCAACCAAGTCTATAGTACCCAGTCTGTCCTCTTATTTACCCAAGCGGAGAAGAGATGGATTCATACCTTTCCCAAGAGTATTAACAGGTAAGTGAGTGTAATGAACTTGACTAGAATTCAATTCTTCGATTTTTCACTGCGAGCCGCTACCCATTACTCCACCGTGTCTCCTCATTTAACTAAATAGAATCAAATTTAATTATAGCGCGTAAGAGATAGTAAATTCCTCCAGGAAGTTGTGGGCCCTAGTGACACGGCCAAAATATTGATCCCGTCTCACCCAGGACTGACTCGTTTGTTTTGTGGGTCGTCCAGCTGACGTGCAATGCATGCCTGTAGCATGCTGTCTTGAAAGTCGTCTGTTTATTAATATTGTTTTGTGAATCAACGAACACTCGTTACGACTTTTGTAATATCGACGAATATTCGTTGCCACTTTCGTATTAGAGACTTTGTAATCGCAGATACAACTATAGTAACGCCGTTGAACAATACTGGTGTCAGACGCCTTCGAATATCACTAGCACTAATAGTACTTGCTCGATACTACTCACTCGAATAGTAATCCGTATAGCGATCCGAATAGAGAAATAGTATAGTAAATAGAGTAGAGAATAGCGGCCCATATAGGAATAGAGGAGAAATAACGATCCGTATAGTAATAAAGGATAGACTAGAAATGCAGATTAGACGTCATTCGAATTCCTATACATGCGTTTCCTCTATGGTCACGTGGTCTACTTAATTCAATAATGGGATCGCCTGTATTTGCTCACTGGTGATCTGTGTTCAAACTCAAGTGTCGGCAGCGACACTTTATTTCTATATAACATATTGACAGCTTTCAGTGTTCAGGTTGCGCGGCCAGACTGCGCCATTTTAGGATCTTCAGGAGCTTTAGATTGGTGCTTTTGTGAAGAGCGAGCTCATTCTGAAAGGTGTTAAGAGACTTAAGCACAGATCTTGCTGCCCCTAAACCTGATCTCCTGACTACCATTCGCTGGTTGATCTATGATGGTTCCCAGGTGCTTGAGTTTCTCCCTTTGCGCCAGCATGGTTGCTCGACACTGAATGTTCTGCTACACCAGTTCACCAGTGGCTGCCATAACATTCTTCATCTTCATTGCTGATGTCAAATTTACAAAGTAAATATTAAAGGACAGTCTCTAAAATGACTGTATAATGTACACTTTAATTAATGGGATGTGTATCTGTTAAAATTAGTTCTGTCCTTACACAATACGCCTACCAAACCACTATAATCAAGATGTTGATATTCCACGCTACTTCAAATAAAAGGTTAGGAAGGAAACTCCCATCAATACTGGAAAGAGCGATAACAGCTACTGGACATGAGAGACTTATTTTCTTGAAAAATTGTGTTAAGTGTAAGATTTTTTTTCAACCGAAAGCAGTACTAGCTGCTTGGTCAATGAATGTCAAAATGTTTTCTTCTAGGAAAACGGTTAATATTACTATATATATATTATATCTGCCTCGTCTGTCATGTATTGAAAGATACATGATCGCCTAAGCGTGTATCACGCATGGCGCATAACTGACTGAATACATTGTATATCTACTTTAGTATATATTAAAATTAAAACAGCTAAATATTTTTGCGTTGTTTCACGCGCGCCGTATGTTGCCGACCGTTGGTTTAGAATTCCTGACCATTGCTAGGTATTATTGTCTATGTCATTTTACATTAAATAAACAGGAGTGTAAATCGGTGACTTTATTTCGTATCCAAGAATTGAATTCCTTCTTAGCTGATTGCTCCCTTTATACTGATGGTATCGATGACTACATTTCCCGCCAACGTACAGGTTCAGAACTAGAAGCTCTCAGTTTTACCAAAACCTTCTCTCGTCATCCATTTCTTATCCTCGTTTGTTTTTGCAGGAGTTGGTTGAAGGTGAAAAGAAATAGAAGAAAGTGCCAATGGCGTGAATTTGTTTAAAGTGGACCCCAACTTGCAAGGAAGTAACCCAAACACTCGATTTCTTGACCTTTCTTTGCGACACATATGGAATGAGACATGCAACAGTTATCAAACTGCCGCTGGCTGTTATAATTTCGAGTGGCGCCTTCTGTAGTATATCCATCATGCGTAGCCCTCTTCATCCGCTGGTTCAACTGTTTAGATCTGTTGCAATCATCCTCCACTTGTTCCATCTTTAGACTCTTTTGGATTGGTTGCGCTTAGTCTAATCCTCGTCTTCGACCTAGCCGTCAAGGGTGGCCCTACCAGGAGTTTAGAACAGGGGTCGGCAACCTTTTGCTAAGTATGTGCCGACTTAGGGTTTTAAAATCTTTCAGTGTGCCAAAAGCATACATATTTTTATACAAGTCAAGGTCAATATACCTATTCTACAATATATTTTATATTGTAATATATAGGAGTAATGGATAGAGGCTTGGATTGAGGTACCGGAGAGCCGAGTTCGAATTCCAGTCGAATCCATTACATTCACTTACGTGCTAATACTTTTAGGAAACGTATGAGTCCTCTTCTTCTCCCCCAGCTATGGGTAATTAGCAGGACAGACCGGGTTCTATAGCCTTGGATGGCAACTGGTCTACTGTAGAAAGAAATGGCAACCTACTGCGGGTAAAAATCTGCCTCGTCTGTCATGTATTGAAAGATACATGATCGCCTAAGCGTGTATCACGCATGGCGCATAACTGACTGAATACATTGTATATCTACTTTAGTATATATTAAAATTAAAACAGCTAAATATTTTTGCGTTTTTTCACGCGCGCCGTATGTTGCCGACCGCTAGTTTAGAATTCCTGACGGCATCATTCTCAGTCATTGAATCACGAAAACCCCCCTCCATCATGACAAGGAGTGACCATCATTTACAATGTGCATTTCGCTTCTAAAAAAAAAAGAAAATTATGTCTTTTAGAAAACTCACCCTCCAATATCAGCTAGACAAGCAACACCTGATATTGGCGAGTGGAATTAATATTCAAAGATGTGTTTGGATCGTGTCATCAACTGGATTGATATAATAACTAAGTTTTGTTTATTGTCAATGTTAATTATGATTTATTAATATTAATTGTGAATTATTAATATTAATTACTAATATTAATTATGATTTATTAATATTAATTATGATTTATTAATATTAATTGTGAATTATTAATATTAATTATTGATATTAATTATGATTTTTTAATATTAATTATGATTTATTAATATTAATTATTAATATTAATTATGAATTATTAATATTAATTATGAATTATTAATATTAATTGTTAATATTGATTATTAATCATTAATATTATGAATTCGGTGATCGTACGAGAACCGGTGTTTCAGCGTGATTTGACCGTAAGTTAAGCAGCGTAGAGCCAGGTCAGTACTTAGATGGGGGACCGCTTAGGATCACCTGGTACTGTAAGCCCCCAAAGTCCAACCCTTACCTCACAGTCGGTGGGGGGGGTGTAAACGGTAGTGTCAGAGCTATATTCGTTCCTGGTAGGGCCACCCAAGGCGGACAGGTCTGACACACACGCCGGCTAACAAGGGCTCTGGTGAAAATCCAAGGAGCGTCTGCATCGGTAACCGGCGGCTTCTGGTCGTTCCTGTCTCTGCGTCTGTGGGAACCCCGCGGCAAGCAAGAACGTTATCCGAGTAGGCCTGGGTACCCTACTTCTGTAATTTATCCCAAGAATCTTCTTCTCATAACAGGAAGAAGCCGGCTCAATCCGCCCAGGGTGAATGCCGCATCAGTAGTAGTAGTAGTAATATTATGAATTATTAATATTAATTATTAATATTAATTATGAATTATTAATATCAATTATTAATATTAATTATAAATTATTAATATTATGATTTATTAATATTAATTAATAATTATTAATATTAATAATGATTTATTAATATTAATTATAAATTATTAATATTAATTATTAATATTAGTTATGAATTATTAATATTAATTATGAATTATTAATGCTAATTATTAATATTAATTATGAATTATTAATATTAATTATTCAGTTATTTAATTGATTAGGAATCCTGTTATAATTCTGCTTCTCTCTTAGTAAATTAGTTAGAATGTGCGTCACGCCCTGTAATATAGCCTGCCTTTCCGCTACACACAAATTCTTGATATAGTAGCAGCGGATAGAATAAATCCTGGCACCCTGCTTAGGCACGATGCTTATAACACCTGCCATGGGGCACCTCGAGGCGGTGTAATGGTTAACAAGCTTGTCTCGCTTGAACAATTACAACTGAGTAGTGAGTTCGATCCTCACTGGGTGCCCCCTAATTTCAGGCTTGTGCCACATCCAAGCTACGCTTGGAAAATTACTATAACACCTGCCATGACACGCCCATTGTAACGAACGACCCTCATTCAGTTTGTATTCCTTTCATGAGATGTAAGTTCCAATCGAGCAGTTTCTTCCTACTGACCACTGATTTGTGGAACCGACTCTCAAGAGGATGCTCTCCTGATCGCGACAATCTTAACATTTTTATGTCTAGGGTTAACAATCTTTCACACTTATCCGTATAAGCTGTGATTCTTACTCTGTAACCCTCTATCTCGAGTGGCCCTCAAGCCTTGTACAGTGTGAATATCATTGTCAAAAATTACTAAAAGAGAAGTAATGCTTCTTTGTAACCCTCTGTCTCGATTTTTAATGCTGGTAATATTTTTTTATCTATCTATCTATCTCAGTATATATTGGTTTGGTTTGGTTTGTTTCACGGCATATCAACCCCAAATGGGTTATTTAATGCCGACAAAATTAGTAATATTTTTTCTTCAAATATGTATTGCTGGTAATATTTTTCCCCAAAATGCATTGCTGGTAATGTTTTTTCCAAAAATGTATTGCTGGTAATATTTTTTCAAAAAATCCTTCAAAAATTTATTGCTGGTATTATTTATTTTTTTTTTTTTTTACAAAAACATATTGCTGGTAACAAAACCTATTTTTACATTTTCATAGTGCTTTGGCCACAGTTTGGGGGTTAACTATTTGCCCATAGCTGGGACCCTAACAGGTGCTACCACCCTGGATCAGAGTGGACCTAGGAATACCAGCTATTAAGAGGTGGTTTCATGCTCCTCAAAACCTCCTGATCATAGCCCTTGTTGTTGGATGTAGTTTATCGTCTTATCCAGGATGCAGATGTAGTTTATCGCCTTACCCAGGACGCGCTGGTGCTGATAACAGTCTGTTGTGTCATACAACCCCATGGTATATGTATAGCAGAGACCTGGGCAGAATTTGATGATAGCTCGACAGTTACCCACGCAACATGTCTGCCCTCTC